TGGCATCAACATCGATACCTAATGACCAATATATTTTATTTAAAGATGTAATAGATCAACGTTTCCCACCACTAGTAAACCAAGTTGTAGAGGATGTAAGCTACAAAAGTAGCATTTGCACGCTTGAATGGCAATCCCAAACTTCAGCCAACCATACAATAGGTTGCTTAAGCCCTTACTTGTCAATCATTTCCATTGCCCAATCTTTTCATGATCATCAAATTGGGAGAACTCTTGGTCATGGAGTTTGTTTCTAATTAGGTGCTAACAATTTGGATTATAATTCTAGGTACATGTATAATTTGCTTTCTCAATCTCCTTCTTTCTCTCCTTTGTAATCAAATGTTTAAGCACTCTACTATATACATATATATATTTTATTCACTAATGATGATATTTTGTTAATGAATAAAATTAAAATTATTTACATCCTTAAAAATAAATTATTTTATATATATATACAACATTGATAGGTTAATAATAACGAATCACTTAAATATAGTAGATGAAGAATTTAATGAGAAACTAACATAAAAAGAAAGAGAGATTAGGGAATTTTTTTTGAGTTTTAGTTTCACAGTATTATTGGATGGTAACATCGTTGTTTAGAAACTTTTGGTTGAAAGCTTCTTTTCCATTTGTATCAAACATTTTTTTTTTTGGTTTTTTTTTTTCTAATTGGAAGTAGGTCAGTGATTTTAATGTGACTTTTTGACAGAAAAATAGATGCACTTATTATTAACTAAATGTTTATGTTCAAAAGTTTTGTTTTCTTGTAATTATTTATTAAATAAAAAATAATATTTTTATGATTTCATTTGGATAAACATAAGATGACTGAACCTACACAAGCATGAAAAACAACAGGACTTGGAATGATATTAAGAAAGAAGCCATGATTTGGATAGTTTAATGGAATATATATTTTGTTAATTATTTAAGTATAAATTACATTGGCCAGCATGGATGATCAGGTATTTATTCACCCCTTTCCAGTTAATTTCCACGAAGAGTAGCAAATGAGTCAATGTGGTACATCCACGAGTCAACTCTGACCGCGAGTCAGGAATGTGATGAAAACATGCCGGCATTGATTGAGTGTGATCAAATCATGAATGACGTGAAACACACCCTGAAAGACTTCTCAAGTCTTCCTCCAATTGAGATTGGTGTTAATTTTATATGTTTCTACTTTTTCTTCTTTGTCCTTTTCTTATGTTTTTTTTTTTTTCTTTATTAAGGTGGGAAATTGATGAAAATTTTAGATAGAGAGGGTCTCGAAAAGAGAGAAAAAAATAAAAAATAAATTTGATCATTTTATGGGTCATTCAAAACAACGCACCCGTGCGCAGACCCATGTGTCGACTCATGTATGGCCCGACCTTTATTTAAGTTTTTTTTTTTTTTGATTTAATTATTATTTTTTAAATTATAGAAAAAATAAATGATTATTTTTTTCCTTTCTAAAGAAATAAGTAATAATTTTAATAAAATATAAAATCAAACCAAATGGTAATTTTTATCTAAAATAAAAAAAATAAAAAAAAGATTAAATTCCCAAAAAATAATTATTAAGGAAAATAAAAAAATTTTATTTTTACTTAATTTACAAGCAAAATTATTTCCTAAATTTTGCTAAACTATTGAGATAATTCACGAATTTATTTTTTCATAAAAAATAAAAATGCTACAAATAATAAATAAAATAAATAATTGATTATTTGAATAAATCTATTAAGATGTAATTTAAAAAAAAATTGAAAGAGTTTAGTTTTTCTTAATTATTGTAAGTAAAAGCATTTTTAGATTTCACCAAAGAGAGGAGATAATCTAAAAACTTTTTTTTACTAAATAAAGATTAATTTAAATAATAAAAAAATAAAAATAATGATAAAATAGAAATAATAAAAAAACAAAAAATATTAATTATGCGTTTAATTAGATTAAATCTTTTGAGTAAGAATTTTTTAAAAAATTGAAAGAGTCTTATTTTTTAAAATTTTTCTAAGAAAAATAATTTTTTGAATTTCGCCAAATAGTTAAGATAATTTTGAAATTAATTTTAAAAATGAAAAAAAAATATATATCTTATGATGAAATTTTATGAATTTTGTGAATGGTTAATTTTTCAAAAATTTCATAAATAAAAATATTTTTTATAGAATCCATCAAAGTGTTGGAAAATTTATAGAAGACAAAAATAATAATTTTTCACAAAATAATAATAAAAACTGCTTTTTCATAAATATTTTTAAGGATTACTTTAAATATTAAAATGACTGTAGTATCAAAATTAAAAGATAACACGTATTTAATTGATACTATTCTTTAAATGGATGATGTGAGGGTATTAATATATTCCTTACTCGTAATAGTACTTTCAGACTCAATTCTAATTTCACAAACTAAAATCTATTTTAATGAATCTTAATTAATTTTAAGATTTTTTAATTAAAAAATAAATATTTTAATTAATCAATTATATCTAATTAAAAAAAATTGATAATCACTTTATAAATTTTTATCAAATTTAACAATCGAATTTTCGTACAAAATATTGTTATTACAGTTGAAATTTTTTTAACTTTTCATGTAAAATAAAGTTTAATTAAAAATAATATTTTATGATACCATTTGGATAAACATAAGATAACTGAACCGACACAAGAATGAGAAATAAAAGGACCTTGGAATTATATGCAGAAAGAAGCCATGGTTTGGAATATTTTGTTGATTATTAGGTATAAATTACATTGGCTAGCATGGATGGTTAGATATTTATTCAGCCCCTCCCCAGTTAAAGACTCATAAACTAACTTGTTCATGGCAATAATAAATTAGTAAATGTGTTACACGAACAAGTCAACTCGAGATCGCAAGTTATGAATGTGGTGAAAACATGTCGGCATAGATTAAGAACATATTAGGGTGTGATCAAATCATTGCAAACGCACTCCTTGAAAGACTTCCCAAGTCTTCCTCCAATTGACGTTGGCGTCAATTTTGGATGTTTCTACTTTTTCTTCTCTTTTCCTCCCTTTCGCTTTTTTTTTTTTTTTTTTCCTTTATTGGGGTGGGAAAAGGAGAAAGGCAGTTAACTAGGTGGGCAGGTGGGGTCTGAGTGGTGCATATTTTACTCTTATTCTAATTTTAAATCAGTGCTATGCACAAGATGAATAAATTAATTATAATTTTTATGACATTTATATAACAATATTTAAAAATTAAACGTATTTTATTAGGACTTAATTCTTCAATAAATAATTTAAATAAACAATTGGGTCAATGAAAAATAAAAATAAAAACACATTTCATTTTTATTATTTTGATAAATGAGAAAACTTAAAATATATAATCTTGTATTAACTAGTATATGTCATCGAATTTATTTGCCTAAGAAAGTAAATGAACTTTGAACATATATTTGGTTAAAAAAACTTTGAACATGTAGGCATCCTTAATAAAGATACATAAACTCCATTCAAACCTTCATAATTGATGCAGTTGCCATATACTTGCTAATAGAGATGCAGTTGCCATTAAAAATTGTCACCCGTAAACTTTGCAATCCAAATAATTTTTTAGTGATTTCCACCGTTCAATGGAGTTTTGAGTTCTAGTCCTCAATTGTCCCTTTATTTTATATTTTTTTTGTTTTCTCTTTCAAGTTAATCACTTTTTTTTCTATTTCTTTTTTTTTCTTTACTTAAAATTAGAAAATAATTTTGTAAATTTAATATAAAAATTTATTATACAATAAATTAATAAATAACTTTTAATTATTTATTAATGAAATCATTATTTGACATAAAATAATTTAATAATTTTATAAATATTAAATAATTTAAATTTTTTATTACATATAGCTTTAATCTGATGTCTTTAATGATTTTTTTTTTCATTATCATCATTGGTTTTGTATTCAAATACATTCTACCACTAATTTTAATTTTTTATTATAATAATTTGTTTTATTTGTATCACTAATTTTAACGGCCAACCAAATAGATCCAAAGTGATTGTAAGACCACGTAAATCATGAATAACGTGAAAGACTTATGAAGTCTTCCTCCAATCGAGATGTTTCTAATCTTTTTTTCTTTTCTTTTCATTCTTTTCTAATATATTTTAATTTTAAATAATTAAAAAATTTTATAAATATATAAATATGTTATCATTAATTATTATATTTTATTAAAAAATTCAAGTGAAGTAAAAACATATACTCAGTAGAAATAAAAAATTAAGTAAAATAAATTACCTTAAGCGTAACTAGATGTCCATTTTTATTACACTTGAATTAATTTTTAATTCTTTACATCTTTTTTTATGCATAATATTATACATATATATATTAATTTGCCTCACCAATTATAATTCCTGGATCCGTTATGCATGACAGTGAGTTTATTTCAGTTTCAAGCACTAATCCTCGTTAAAATTTTATTTTTCTTTCTTTATGGAAGGTAAATTAGCGGTGGTCATGTATTTTGGCAAAACAAATTTATTCGGATTCATGCATACTGCATATTTGGTTATAAAGTGCATTTAAAAGGGCATGCAAAGTAAGAAAAATAAAAATTGTCGAAATATTTTATTAAGTTGATTGATGCATTATTCCTTTTCTGAAATAAAATCTGAATTTATTTTTTTTAAAAAAGAAAAACAAAGAAATTTAACTATAAGCGTAATTAGGTGTTAAAAGAGATTCAATGATTTGAATATTTTTTGGCGTCGATTTAGCATGTAATTTGTTTGATATTGAAGCTCTATTTTGGTATTACTGATTATCTTACATTTTCACTATTCAAAAATATTGTATAACTAAATGTAATAATAAAAATAACAACATATTAAGTCTTATATTCTATAATATGAGATAATAATCTTCTTTCTTTAATCAAATAATCAAATGTAATAACCAAATAATCAAAAATAAAAATACTATTAATAATTTTCTTTCTTTCCAATCAAACGCCTTTATAAAAAATATGATTATGATGCAAATTTACTCAAAGTTGGAAAGTTTGCATTTTTTAAAGCAATGGATTTGTTTTTTAGCACCTTTTCTTTTCTTTTGAAAAAGTAGAAAGATCTGCGTCATTCTGTCTGCTTTTTTTTTCTTTTTGAAATGTTGGCTACTTTTTTATTACTGAACCAATGAATGTTAAGCATAAAGTTATGGCTAAAAAATTAAAAGAACCTAAAATGTGAAAACACTAATATTTCTCAGCATGATTTTGCGAAAGCGATATCAGCCTCTGTTTCTTTCTGAAACTGGGATCAAGCCCTTACTAAATTTCTTCTTCTAGGCTATGGTTGGATGAAGTACTTGAAGGGTGTTATGTATTTCAAGCAAGCTTTCCGAAAGTCAAAAAATAAATTCGTTTCCAGGGATAATAATATAAACGTAAAAGTCCCGGTCTTGAAGTTGCATGTTTCCACATGATGTGGATGTTTCATAGTGACTGAAACACTCTAGTTTTTTGCATAAATACCTGACCATGCCAATTTAATTTACAACAACTAACAAACAATCCTTTTTGAACCATCCAAATTATGGCATCCTTCATAATACCATTCAAAGCCCTTTTCTTCCTTATAGTGGTCCTGCATTGGTCTCCCTCTGTTCTTGCTTCTTCATCCTCCATTGCTGCAAATGAAAAAGAAACTCTTCTAAAATGGAAAGCTAGCCTTGACAACAACACCCAAACTTTGCTCTCTTCTTTGTGGGTTGGAGACAGCCATTGCAATTGGGTCGGAATCACTTGCAACAAGGCTGGAAGCATCACCAATCTAAGCCTTCCAGATTATGGGTTCAAAGGTACACTTCATAGTCTCAACTTCTTGTCCTTCCCCAACCTCATGGGTCTTCACCTTCCTAACAACTCACTGTATGGGCCCATTCCCTCACACATTGGAAATCTTTCCAAGCTCACCAAACTTGACTTGTCCAAGAATCATTTCTCCGGAAATATTCCATCAAACATAGGAAGGTTATTAAGTTCACTTTCTATACTCTATCTCCATGAAAACGATCTCACTGGTCCAATAACTATTTCTATTGGAAGCTTGCACAATTTGTCCCGACTTGTCCTCTTTGACAATAGGCTCAGTGGTTCTATACCTAAAGAAGTTGGAATGATGAGGTCACTTGTTATGCTTGATCTTTCAGTGAACTACTTAACTGGTCCTATCCCAGCATCTCTGGGAAACCTAAGTAACTTGGTATGGCTTTATCTGTATGGTAATAACCTCTCTGGTTCTATTCCCAATGAAATAGGACAGCTTGGATCTCTTACCACAATGCAACTGTTAAGTAATAATCTCACTGGTGTCATCCCTAATTCCATAGGAAACTTAACCAATTTGTTAAGTCTTAAACTCTTTGAAAATAAGCTTTGCGGGTCAATACCTCAAGAGATAGGGATGCTTGTATCTCTTACAGAACTTATTTTATCGGATAACAATTTCTCTGGTTCAATCCCCGCTCCCATAGGAAACTTAACCAAATTGTCTAGTCTTTACCTTTCTGAAAATAAGCTTTCCGGGTCAATACCTCAAGAGATGGGGATGCTTGTATCTCTTACAGAACTTATTTCATCGGATAACAATTTCTCTGGTTCAATCCCCGCTCCCATAGGAAACTTAACCAAATTGTCTAGTCTTTACCTTCCTGAAAATAAGCTTTCCGGGTCAATACCCCAAGAGATGGGGATCCTTGTATCTCTTACAGAACTTATTTTATCGGATAACAATTTCTCTGGTTCAATCCCCGCTCCCATAGGAAACTTAACCAAATTGTCTAGTCTCTACCTTCCTAAAAATAAGCTTTCCGGGTCAATACCTCAAGAGATAGGGATGCTTGTATCTCTTACAGAACTTACTTTATCTCAGAACAGTTTGTCTGGCTTCCTTCCTCCAACACTTAGCAATGTTACTCATTTGGAATCATTACAATTATCAGACAACCATCTTTGTGGTCCATTACCTGAGAATGTATGCCTCGGTGGACAACTCGTATATCTTGGGGCTAATAACAACAATTTGAGGGGTCCGACCCCATCAAGTTTAGGAAACTGCAAAAGCTTGTACAGAGTTAGGCTTGACGGAAACCAGTTGACAGGAAATATATCAGAAGCTTTTGGTATATATCCTAATTTGACTTATATTGCATTAAGCAACAACAAATTTTATGGTGAACTTTCGCCAAACTGGGGGCAATGCCATAATCTAACAAGCCTACGAATCTCCAATAATAACATTTCTGGAAAGATACCACCTCAGCTGAAGCATGCAACTCAATTACGCGAACTCGATGTCTCTTCAAATCATCTCATTGGTGAGATTCCCAAGGAATTGGGAGCATTGACATTGATGTACAAACTTTTGCTAAGTGGTAACCAACTTTCAGGCAAAATTCCACCAGAGATTGGAGTTCTTCCAAATCTAGAACATCTTAACTTGGCATCAAACAATTTGAGTGGACCGATTCCTAATCAACTTGGAGAGTGCTCAAAGTTATTGAACTTGAATTTGAGCAAGAATAAACTTGGAGAAAGCATTCCACTTTCAGTAAGCTACATAAATGGCCTTCAAAATCTAGATTTAAGTCAGAATTTACTTATTGGGGAGATACCACAACAGCTTGCAAAATTACATTCCTTGGAAACATTGGACCTTTCTCACAATATGCTCAATGGTTCCATCCCAAATTCTTTTAATAATTTGCAAAGTCTGACTGTTGTGAATATATCTTACAATCAATTAGAAGGCCCTATTCCTAACATTAAGGCATTTCATGAGGCTTCATTTGATGCCTTCAGAAACAATAAGGGACTATGTGGTAATGCCACTGGACTAATGCCTTGTGCTGTCGCTGCTAGAAAAAGCACCAAAGTCATCATTTTCATTGTGCTTCCACTCTTTGGTCTTCTTCTTTTGCTCTTTATCATAGCTGGAAGTTTCCTTATTCTTCGCCGAAAGAACCAAACCAGAAAATCCGAGTCAATCGAGGCAAAACTTGGAGATTTTTTCACATTGTGGGGATATAATGGAAGAATACTCTATGAGAACATTATTGAAGCCACTGAAGATTTCAGCTCCAACAATTGCATTGGTTCAGGAGGCTATGGAGCTGTTTATAAAGCTGCGCTACCCATTGGTGAGGTGGTTGCGGTGAAGAAACTTCACCAATCTGAAGATAGCATGATTTCCAACAACTTGAAAGCCTTTGAAAGCGAGATTTATGCTTTATCAGAAATAAGGCATCGTAACATTGTGAAGCTGTATGGCTTTTGTTCACATCCAAAGAACTCATTTTTGGTTTATGAGTTTGTAGAAAGGGGAAGTTTGAGAATGGTGTTAAGCAACAAGGACGAGGCAATGAAGTTGGATTGGGAGAAGAGGCTAAATGCTGTAAAAGGAGTGGCCAATGCCTTGTCTTATATGCATCATGACCATTCACCACCGATAATTCATCGAGACATTTCCAGCGACAATGTTCTTCTGGATTTGGACTATGAGGCTCATGTCTCAGATTTCGGCACAGCCAGGCTTTTAAAACCTGACTCTTCCAATTGGACCTCACTTGCTGGCACTTTCGGGTACATAGCTCCAGGTATTTATTGATATCTTTTTTTTTTTAAAGATACTTTAAACATGTCATCGTTCAATTAAAAGTATTAGTTTTGTGTGTAAATTGATGCGTTAAAACAAAGTTCAAGTAGTATTATATATGATTGTAATTTTTCAAATTTTAAGTATCAAATTAAGAATTTTACTACAATTCAAGTATCAAATGTATAATTAATCTTTGAAGTTTAACACTTAATTTTTTAATATTTAATATATCAAAACTGATGAACCAAATGTAAAATTTTGTTAGAACCTATGAATGTCAATTTTAAAGTAATCTTCTAAACATTTACAATTTTTTTTCAACATTATTTAATAATCTTCTCAATATTCTTTATTCTTACATAATAGTGTATTATTGATAAGATATATTTCTTGCTTAATAGAACATATTGATTAAATATATTTTTCTAAACAGAGTTGGCTTATTCATTGAAAGTAGACGAGAGATGTGATGTTTATAGTTTTGGGGTGCTAACAATGGAAATATTTATGGGGAGGCATCCTGGTGATTTGATTTCATGTTTACCATCATCGTCATCGGCACTGGCATCAACATCGACATCAATACCAAATGACAACCAACTGATTTTACTTAAAGATGTGATAGACCAACGCCTCTCACCACCGGTAAGGCAAGTTGCAAAGGATGTTGTCTCTACTACAAAGCTAGCATTTGCATGCTTGAATGGCAGTCCCCAACTTCGGCCAACCATGAGACAAGTTGCTCAAGCCCTTACCCATCAATCGCTTCCATTGCCCAATCCTTTCTCAATCATAAAATTGGGAGAATTGTGGGATCATGAAGTTTGCAGTGACTAATATTAAGGTGCTAACAATTTGAATAATAATTCTAAGCATGTCTATTTGCTTTCCATCTATTTCTTTTTCTCTTACTTGTATCGAAATGTTTAAGCACTTTATAATAAAGCTTTTGTAGTGAATCAGCTATGACATGGAATAGTTGTGTTTAAGCACTCAATTTGTATGTTCAAAATTTCTTATTTTTGAAATGTAACTAATGGCCAGACTTAGAATTTCGACTTGCAATATCAGTTGTAATATTCTACTGTAGTACCGATTTGCTACAGTACTTTCATTTTGGAATACTATTGCAATTCTAATATGACTTTTTTATTTGTTTGAACAAACAAAGAATACAATTGGTGAGCATACCAAATTACAATAAACACAACTTCACACAATAATCTTTTGATTTTATTATTTATTCACCATTTATTCTTATACTTACTAATACACATTATTTCTCACAATTTCATCTTTTTAACCTTTAATCATTCACTGCCTTTGAAATCATTCAAAATTTAATTGTAATTATATTGAGTACACTTGAATTGGATTTGAGTGACGACTTTGAAGAATATACTTTTAACTTGTACTATTTTTACTAAAATGCTAAAAATGTTGTACTTTTCTTTCTCAAATAAACTTTTATCTATTTTTTATCCAATTGAAAGCATAAAACATTATTTTTATTTAATTAAGTCTTATTTTACATGAAAATCACTAAAATTTATTATTTTTACCATATCAATGGCAATAATTATCTTTGTTACATCAATTTATGCATTTCAAAACATAAAAATTTAAGTTGAACTGTCATTTACATAATATATAACGAATGGCTTATGTAATAGGCCACGTTAGCATCTAAAGAGTTTTTTTTATTTTTAATATATGTTATGTAGATGTTGGCATCATAAAAAGAAATATGGCAATTTTATGTGTTATTTTACTTCATATTGAAGTATTAGAGTAAAAAATTTTTTGGATGATTGTGGGTACAGATCATTCGGATGATACTCATATTATTTGAAATTAAGATTATTAGATTTGTATTATTTTGAGTTTAAATTATTATATTTTAAAATCAAATTAATTTATTTTAAATAATAATTTCAAATCAATTTTCGAATTATTAGAGTTCGAATCATTTCAAAGTCATATTAATTCAAGTTTAAATAATTTTGAGTTTGAGTTGAACAAATTTAAATTGTTAATTTTTTTTTAACCAAATTACATAGAATTAGGTCCATATCTAGACAGATTTAATGTTATATATTATTATAATTATTATTGTAAAATAAAAATATTAATGTTATTTTGAAAAATTATTAAAAATTTATTTATTGATTGCTATCCAAATTGAATTAACTAAATATAGAAAGAAGTTTGATTGAGAAACAAAGAATGATCTTAGAAGTAGAAGTACTAAAACATGAGAAATAAAATGGATTCTACAAACAATTAACTAAATCATAGCAATTACTTCCATTAATTCTTCTCTTTAACAAATGTAGAAATGTGAAACCAATTTGATTTTGAGTCTAAATAAATAAATATATTTACCTTCACTACTTTATATTCACAGCTTACATCTATAGCTGTGTGTGCAACAAAGCCTTTTCGATCAATCTAATAATGGTATCATCTCTTCTATGTCCCAACTTTTCTTCTTTCTCATCCTTGCATTGCTTCAATCTACACTAGTCTTTGCCTTTGGTATCCTTTCAAATTACTTCTTTAGCTACTGCTCCATCCATTGAAACAAAAACCCTTCGAAATGGAAAGCTAGACTTGCCTAGGGGTGAGCAATTGTTCAGTTGTCGATTCAAATCAGTTTTAAAAAACTTCAAAATCCAGAAACCAATTTAACCGAACCAAGTTATACAAAGCTAACATCATAAGTAAGCTCTAGAATTCAACATCTTTGTCCAATCGAATTTACAACAACTAGAATAGTTCAACATCCAACACTCTTACTGTCAACCACTTCCTAAGAAAGCAGTAACAAGTACATCTGAATCATACAAAGATGAAACAAAAGTTATATTCAGGAAACTGGTCCTAAGTAGTCACCTTCCAAACTTACCAATGCCTGAAATTCCCTCTCTGCTTCCTTCCACTTTGTTCCAATAAATCAGATGACAACATCCTTCTCAATCTTTGAATGCTTGTCATTCATGAAGATAGCGTTCTCTCCAGGCACATAATTGTAGTCGGGCATTTTTACGTGAGACAGATAGATGTTTTGGATTGGTCAACACTTAAAGAATACTCCATGTTCTAGTACCTTGTGTACAACTCCTTCCAAAATCTATCCTCTGAACATCTTGAAGGTGATTCCACTGAAGACAACAGGGAAAAGCACATCCCCAGTGTTCTGTCTAACTCTGCCCTCTCCAATGCTCTCCAGAGTTGTTACAGCCATGACATATCCAAGATCCTTGGTGGCCTTCTTCCGAGCAAATTCATCCAAATGGCGGACCACTATAGCCTTTTGGAGCATCAAACCTTGGCATCCAAGCTGTCAGCAAGAATTATGACATTCCATGGCAACTGCACCTTGAGAAATATTCTGCAACTGCAATTAACATGGAAATGTAAAAAAAAAAAGAAAAAGAAAAAAGGTAATTCGCAATGAAACGAATGTCCTTAGAGTAAAACGGAAACAGTATATTAATCTTGAAGAACTCAAAAATTGATTTAGTCCTATCCCAATATCAAGTATGTTAAAGCCAAATTTCAACAATCCAAACATAAAAGATTGAAAAAGATTAGTTTTTAACTCTTGAAAATTTACCAGATTGTAATGAAATAGAACCATACAATGCCCATTTCACATGATCAGCAATGCATAGCAGCAAACCCAGAATCAAAATAAAGCAATAATAAACAGATAGTACCATAGGAAAACTGTAGCATTTCCTTCAAGAACAGTCAAAACATTTCTGTCATCTTATTCAATACAAGCCGGTCAAACAAAATCCAATTGAAAATCATATCTTTTAAACTACAAATGCATACTAGTTTAAACCAACCAATGTCATAACGTCTAGATCCAGGGATCTATCACTAGACATTGACTTGAAGGAGTCGCCACCAATCTTTTTTATCTAGGTGCGATTGGCCACCTAAGGAATTTATCCTTTTAAAGAATACTTAAGCTTAAGGGTCCCTAAAAGAATAGGTTCAGGTCTACTATTCAGAACAGGGTTCGGGAGTTCAGTTACATGTGAGGAAGGTTATAGCACCCTCACAACGCCCATCGAAAGATGGTACTAGCTTAATTTTGTGTTATCCAATAAGCCTTAAAAATTTACCAAGTAATTAATTATTGAAAATTATTCTCAATTGACTTTAATAATTTTAGCAGAAAATTGAGAAAATTCCCTCACCTCAAGAGAATGCAAGAAAACTACTGTTTCACTTGCAGAGGCTCCATCGTCGGATTATTTAAAATTAAAGAAAATCCAAGAAAATAAAAAGGAAAAAAAATGATTGCTTTAAATATAAATCCTTTCCTCTTAAAAAATTCATTGCTTTTGTTACAAGAAAAATTGATACTTTCAACTTTTCCCCAAAATATTTTTTAGAAAATTATTTTTAAGGAAAATTGATACTTTCAACTTTTCCTCAAAAATATTTTTCAGAAAACTTATTTTCAAGAAAAATTGATACTTTAAACTTTTCCCCAAATATTTTTTTGAAACTTATTTTTAAGGAAAATTGATACTTTCAACTTTTCCTCAAAAATATTTTTTAGAAAACTTATTTTCAAGGAAAATTGATACTTTCAATTTTTCCTCAAAAATATATATTTTTTAATTTTATTTAAAGAAAAGAAAAGAAAATAAATAAAATAAAATAGAAATTGAAAATAAAAATAAAAATAAAAAGTATTAAACAATTCTAATCTAATAAATAAATAATAATAATAATAAATAATAAAAAAATGAAAAAGAACCCTAGGATCGGCTTGGCTCGGCTTGGCTTTGCACTCGGGTCACACGCCGGTTGGCGTTCAGGTCGGATCTTGGCAAAACGCGCGGATCCTATGGGTTTACTAACGCAAAAACAACGTCGTTTTTAGAAGGGTATATAAGGCTGAAGGTTGGTTATATAAGGCTAAAGGTAGGTTTTTTTTTCAGAATTTCCTTCTCCTCTTCTCTCTCTTCCCTTTTTTTCCTTTCCCCTCTCTTTAAACAGACAAAGAACTCTGGTTGAATCTCGTCGAATTTTGGAAATTTTCATCGGAATCTGAGTTTTTTGTCGAAAGTTCACCGAAAAGCTGATCAGTTTCTGGAAATAGTCGTCGAAAATTGGGTAGCTGGCCGAAAAATCAAACTTTGCTGAAAAAGTCATCGAAAAATTCAAACTTCACCGAAAAATTCAACCGGAATCTGAAAAATTTTCAGAAATTTCCAGAAAAAAATTCACCAAAATTTCTAAAAAATCTTGAAATTGCCTTTGACCCTTCTGGACGCCTTTTTCTTTCTCTTTTCATTCTTTCTCAGTTAGTGTCTGCGTTTCTGTGTTCTGGTCCTTTGATTTGTGGATCTATTTATAAGGATTGATCAAAAGAGTTTCTGATCAATCCCAACTCCTCCTTGGATTAGGATTCAATCCTTGAATCCAATATGGACTCTTCATTGAATCCCAAATCCACAGTAGAATTCTCAAATTCCATCCCAATCTCAGCCAAATAAAAAGAAAAAAAAATCAAATCAAATAAAAAATATTAATAGATAATTAAAAGAAAATAATTAGATAAATAAAATATTAATAGATAAATAATAATAGGTAAATAATAATATATAAATAGATAAATAATAATAAATACATACATATACTAACAGATAAATAATAAAAATAAATAAATATATATATTAATAAATAGTAATAATAAATAAATACATAAGATACAAAAAAATATAAATAAATACAAATATAAAATACAAAAATAAAAAAAATAAAATGGGCCTACCCATTTGGACCAAGCCCAATTGATCCGAGCCTGGACCAAATTGGGTGTCTACAGCTGCCTCTCTTTGTGCTCTTTGCACATTTTCTATGAAACAGAAATTACGCAAAGACGTAGACACCCATTCAAGACTCCACTCGACCCTTTTCTTTTTTTCATTTTTTTCATTAAAATTCTTATCAAAGCTCTTATAAGCAGAGGCTTAATGACTTTGAAAAACATATACAAAGCTCCTCTAAGCAAAGGCTCAATGACTTTGAAAAACTTAAGCAAAGCTTCTCTAATAAGAGGCTCAAAAACTTTGGAAAATAAATAAAACTCTTCTAAACAGAGGCTCAATGACTTTGAAAATAAATAAAGCTCCTCTAATAAGAGGCTCAACGACTTTGAAAATAAATAAACAAAGCTCCTCTAATCAGAGGCTCAACGACTTTGAAAATAAATAAAGCTCATCTAAATAGAGACTCAACGACTTTTGGAAAGTAAATTGCTCTTCTAATAAGAGGCATCACAACTTTGAAAATAAATGGCTCTTCTAAACAGGGGCATCACAACTTCAAAAAATAGATT